TTGGAGCTTGCAGTGAGCCAAGATCCCTCCGCTGCACTCCAGCCTGGGTGACAGAGCGAGACTCCGTCTCAAAAAAAAAAAAAAAAAGGAAATTCCAAGAATGCCACAGAAAGGCTACTAGAATTAATAAATGAGTTTAGCAAGGTTATAGGACACAGTACAAAGTCAAAATACAAAAATATGTTGTTTTTTATATATTAGCAAAGTTCCTTTGGAAATATCTTAAAACAACATTTTCTTTTATATGTACCTGCCAGTTCTTAGCATTTATTATCAGAAGTAACTAATGAAATTATTTTTTGTCATTCTTCTAGGGGAACTTATGACATTTTAGTAACAAAAGATAATCAAACCCGCTCTGTTGGTCAATATGACAACCGTGGCAGTTTCGGAGAACTAGCTCTGATGTACAACACCCCGAGAGCTGCTACCATTGTTGCTACCTCAGAAGGCTCCCTCTGGGGACTGGTGAGTGAGAGAAATTGTTCCCCTTGCAAGGCACAGTATTAATTCCCTTTCTGTGTCTCTGTCCTCGGGCTGTTGATTTACACTATATCTTACAGCCAGTTATCTGAAAGACATGGATATTATAAAATTATGAACATATTTTCTCAAATGAAATCACATTTTAAAGACGTGAAAGAGCACTTTAGGGCTGGGCAGTGGCTCACGCCTGTAATCCCAGCACTTTGGGTGGCTGAGGTAGGCAGATCATGAGGTCAGGAGATATCCTGGCTAACATGGTGAAACCCCCATCTCTACTAAGAATACAAAAAAATTAGCCGGGCGTGGTGGCAGGTGCCTGTAGTCCCAGCTAGTCGGGAGGCTGAGTCAGGAGAATGGCGTGAACCCAGGAGGCCGAGCTTGCAGTGAGCCGAGATCACACCACTGCACTCCAGCCTGGCAACAGAGCAAGACTCCATCTCAAAAAAAAAAGAGCACTTTATTGTGACATCCTGATGTTAAATTAAGAGTGCTCCTGAAAGAGATAGTGACTTAAGGATAGGTCACGCACTTGGGACTCAATGATTGAAAAACTTGAGAATAGATTTGTATAGGGGAATAATAAGTAATGGGGGGCCAGGTGTGGTGACTCACACCTGTAATCCCAGCACTTGGGGAAGCCAAGGCAGGAAGATCACTTGAGGTCAGGAGTTCGAGACCAGCCTGAGCAACATGGTGAAACCCTGTCTCTACTAAAAATATGAAAATTAGGCAGTCATGGTGATGGGTGCCTGTAGTCCCAGGAGGCGGAGGTTGCAGTGAGGCAAGATCACGCCACTGCACTCTAGCCTGGGCGACTGAGCAAGACTCCATCTCAAAAAATATAAAACAAAATAATAAGCCTTGGTGCCAACTACTGGTTCAGACCAAGATGGAATAGCTCTATAGCATGCTAGTGTTCTCACTTAAAAACACACACGGGCCGGGTACGGTGGCTCACGCCTGTAATCCCAGCACTTTGGGAGGCCAAGACGGGTGGATCACGAGGTCAGCAGATCAAGACCATCCTGGCCAACACGGTGAAACCCCGTATCTACTAAAAAAAAAAATACAAAAAATTAGCCGGGCGTGGTGGTGGCACCTGTAGTCCCAGCTACTCGGGAGGCTGAGGCAGAAGAATGGCTGTCTCTTATACACATCTAGATGTGTATAAGAGACAGCACACACACACACCACTCTGGACATAGTATAGCAAACACAGGAAGACCCTGAAAGGTGGAAAGAAGGCAGACTATCTAGGGATATTGGGGCTTGAGGAAAGACATGACAGTGAGTTCCTGGGTTCCCATATATCCCAGATGGGGTGCTGGAAAAACCTGAAATCCAGATCTGCCAACAGGTACATTCAACAAGAGCAAAACTCCATCTCAAAAGCAAAAACAAAATGAAAAAAAAAAAGAACAGAGAATCAGCTGGTGTCAGCTAGAATATGGAAGAACTTAACACCATTAATTAACAAAAGCTATGTGAAATTTATAGAACACTGCACACAGCAACAACAGAATGAACATTTTTTTCAAGTCTATTCACCCAAATAGGGCATATCTTGGAATATAAAATAAAACTTTAAAAATGTAAAAGATTGGCCGGGCGTGGTGGCTCACTCCTGTAACCCCAGCACTTTGTCCAAGTGATCTCATTGTTCAATTCCCACCTATGAGTGAGAATATGCGGTGTGTGGTTTTCTGTTCTTGCGAAAGTTTGCTGAGAATGATGGTTTCCAGCTGCACCCATGTCCCTACAAAGGACACGAACTCATCCTTTTTTTATGGCTGCATAGTATTCCATCTGTCTCTTATACACATCTAGATGTGTATAAGAGACAGGTATTAGGGTGGGAGTTACCCGATTTTCCAGGTGTTGTGTGTCTCAGTTTCCCTTGGCTAGGAAAAGGGATTCCCTTCCCCCTTGCGCTTCCCAGGTGAGGCAATGGCTCACCCTGCTTCACCTCTCGATGGTCGGGCTGCACCAGCTGACTAGCACCGATTGTCCAGCACTCCCCAGTGAGATGAACCCGGTACCACAGTTGAAAATGCAGAAATCACCCGTCCTCTGTGTCTCTCATGCTGGGAACTGGAGGCTGGAGCTGCTCCTATTCGGCTATCTTGCTCTGGGCCAAAAACCAAATTTTGTATTTTTAGTAGGAATGGAGTTTCACCTTGTTGGCCAGACTGGTCTCGAACTCCTGACCTCAGGTGATCTGCTCACCTCGGCCTCCCAAAATGCTGGGATTACAGGCAAGAGCCACAGCACCCAGCCAAATAACCCATTCTTGGATAATCTCTAAGAGAAAGTCTCAGTGAAAATTGAAAACTGTATATTGAGCTGTAAAACCACCTGCATTGTGACTGGGGTATGAGGATTAAATACATGGGCATAAGAGAAGCGACTCCCTTAGTGCCTGGTACAAGGTGGGTATTCACAGAATGATGGCACAAGCTCCCTATGGCCGTGGTGCCACTCACCACCCCTCTTTTCCTGAGACTTCCTTTCCTAAGACTCCTGTTCTTTCTATTTCCTTGCCTTTGGCAGTCATTCCTCCTCTCCTTGCTTTCTTGATAGGTCAGTGACCTATCAAGATGTTCTTTTGGACTCTACTTTTCTCCTGTTCATTCACTTGCTTTGCAAGCCTAGACTTTTTCAAAGCTTCAATACCACCTCTAGGAAAGTAACTCACAGAAGGTCCTCTCCAGCCTGACTTCTTTCAACCTCACAAGGCCTTGGAAATGCCTTCTGAGGTGGAAGTAGGGAGGATCTGGTGTCATCACTGAGTTTTCCAAGTTGGATCCTACATTCCTGCTTTTATAGTGGGCAGCTGCCATCATGGCCCCTGTACTTAGTCTCTTCTGCTTTCTCTTACTTTATTGAAAGTCAGTAGAAGGTTTCCTGGGAAATTCCTGCAGTCACTGGAGAGAGTAGCACTCCTTTTCTCTTTTGAACTTCAGGGCTGTTTGCTTGCCTCTGAGCACTTGCTGCCTGTGGGAATTTCCTCTTCAGTGCTCGATTGGATGCTTCTCAAAGGCTATGTTGATGTCTGGTGCTTTTTTATATTCTCCACAGCCATAGGAACTGAATTTGCACCACATGAAAAGAGAGTTTTGGGAAGTGTTAAAGCATGCATAAAAAGAGTTAGAACCAGCTGAGTGTGGTGACTCATGCCTGTAATCTCAGTAATTTGGGAGGCCACGGTGGGCAAATCACATGAGCCTAGGAATTCAAGACCAGCGTGGGCAACATGGTGAAACCCTGTCTCTACGAAAAATAGGAAATTAGCTGATGTGGCGGCACATGCCTGTAGTCCCAGCTATTTGGGACGTTGAGGTGGGAGGATCACCTGAGCCCAAGAGGTCAAGGCTACAGTGAGCTGTGATCATGCCACTGCACTCCAGCCTGCGGAGTGACAGTGTGAGACTCTGTCTCAAAAAAAAAAAGTCACTTGCCGGGTGTAGTGACTCATGCCTGTAATCCCAGCACTTTGAAGGCCAAGGCGGGTGGATCACCTGAGGTCGGGAGTTCGAGACCAGCCTGACAAACATGGAGAAACCCTGTCTCTATTAAAAAATACAAAAGTAGCTGGGCATGGTGGCGATGCCTGTAATCCCAGCTACTCCAGAGGCCGAGGCAGGAGAATCTCTTGAACCTGGGAGGCGGAGGTTGCGGTGAGCCAAGATTGCACCATTGCACTCCAACCTGGGCAACAAGAACGAAACTCCATCTCAAAAAAAAAAAAAAAGTCGCTTTAAGAGATATTTGTTGTTTTCTCTTTAGTTAGAACTTTGTTGTTGTTGTTGTTGTTGTTGTTTTTGAGATGGACTCTTGCTCTGTCGCCCAGGCTGGAGTCTACAGTGGCATGATCTCGGCTCACTGCAACCTCCGCCTCCCGGGTTCAAGCGATTCTCCTGCCTCAGCCTCCCGCATAGCTGGGATTATAGGCATGTGCCAACAATACTGGCTAATTTTTTATATTTTTGATAGAGATGGGAATTCACTGTGTTGGCCAGGATGGTTTCGAACTCCTGACTTCAAGTGATCCACCCACCTCAGCCTCCCAAAGTGCTGGGATTACAGGCGTGAGCCACCGTGCCTGGTCGAAATATTGTTTGCTATTGCAGTTATACTAATCTTTGTAACACATATAGGTAGATTTATAAAATATTGGGAGTTAACTTTGCTGCCCTCTGTGTGTTTATTTTTTAATTTTTATTTATTTATTTATTTTGAGACAGAGTCTCTTGTCACCCAGGCTGGAATACAGTGGTGTGATCTCAGCTCACTGCATCCTCTGCCTCCAGGGTTCAAGTAATTCTCGTGCCTCAGCCTCCCGAGTAGCTGGGACTATAGGTGTGCACCACCATGCCTGGCTAATATTTGTATTTTTAATAGACACAAGGTTTCACCATGTTGGCCAGGCTGGTCTCGAACTCCTGACCTCAAGTGATCCACCCACTTTGGCCTCACAAATTGCTGGGATTATAGGTGTGAGCCACTGCGCCAGGCCTTTTGTTTTATCTGTGTGTGTGGGGGGGTGTGTGTGTGTGTGTCTATCTATCTATCTGTCTGTCTATCTATCTTTTGAGACAGTCTCACTCTGTTGGTCAGGCTGGAGTGCAGTGGTGCCCTCACACCTCACTACAACTTCGCCTCCCAGGGCTCAAGTGATCCTCCCACCTCTGCCTCCCAGTAACTGGGACCACTAGTGCACGCCACCATGCCTGGCTAATTTTTGTATTTTTTGTGCAGACAGGTTTCGCCATGTTGCCCAGGCTGTTCTCAAACTTCTGGGCTCAAACAATCCAGCCACCTCGGCCTCCCAAAGTGCTGGGAATACAGTCGTGAGCCCCTGTTCCCAGCCTGTATGTTTTTGTTTGTTTGTTTGTTTGTTTTAATAAATAAATTAAAATATTGGGGTTTTCTGTTTTTGTGGGGTTTTGTTTGTTTGTTTGTTTTTTTAGTCCGAGTCTCGCTCTGTCTCCCAGACTAGAGTGCAGTGCTGTGATCTTGGCTCACTACAAGCTCCGCCTCGCAGGTTCAAGCGATTCTCCTGCCTCAGCCTCCCTAGTAGCTGGGACTACAGGTGCCTGCCGCCATGCCCAGCTAGTTTTTCGTATTTTAAGCAGAAGCAGGGTTTCATCATGTTAGCCAGGATAGTCTCAATCTCCTGACCTCGTGATCCACCCGCCTCAGCCTCCAAAGAGCTGGAATTACAGGTATGAGCCACCACGCCCGGCCTGTTTTTGTGTTTTAACTAGGTTTCCCTGTGTTGCCCAGGCTGGTCTTGAATTCCTAGCCTCAAGCGATCCTCCTGCCTTGGCCTCCCAAAGTGCAGGAATTACAGGCATGAGCCACCACACACAGCCTAAAATAATTGTTCTGTTTTTATTTTTTTTTCAAGGCAGAGTCTCGCCCTGTTACCCAGGCTGGAGTGCAGTGGCATGATCTTGGCTCACTGCAGCCTCTGCCTCCCGGGTTCAAATGATTCTCCTGTCTCAGTGTCCCGAGTAGCTGGGATTACAGGCGCCCATCACCACGCCTCGCTAATTTTTGTATTTTTAGTAGACATGGGGTTTCACCATATTGGCCAGGCTGGTCTTGAACTCCTGACCTCAAGCGATCCATCCGCTTTGGCCTCCCAAAGTTCTGAGATTACAGGCATGAGCCGCTGTGCCCAGCCCATTGTTATACTTTCTAGCAAAAAAAAATATATATATATATGTGTGTGTGTGTGTGTGTGTGTGTGTGTGTATATATATATTTATTCCTGACAGCCTGAGGTAGTTGAAAGGTAGTTAACTTAGATACAAATAACTGCTTGCCCATTTAGGAATCTAAGACTAAGCAATTAACATTCTCATGTGTGTCTCCCTGCACATGTGTACAAATATCTGAGAAGTGCCTGGCTTTGGTTAACTGTCTCCTGATCAGAATCCATTACTTACTAAGCCAGGCACAGTGTTGTGCACCTGTAGTCCCAGCTACTTGGGAGGCTGAGGTAGGGAGATCACTTGAGCCCAGGAGTTCAAAGCCAGCCTGGACAACAATGGGGGACCCCATCTGAAAAATAAAACAAAAGGAATCCATGACTTCTTAAGAGTCAAGGTATCTTTCATATGCCTGCCTTCCATCTTGCATATTCCTCCCATGTCTCTTCATTAACTTTAATCCTACCTCTCTTTCAGGTCCCAGACATTTTTGCTGCAAAATAATCTTTGATCACTCCTGCCTACCGTGATCTCCCCTTCTTACCTTGAAATTTATGTAACACTTGTCTTCTGTAGTTTCACCAAGCACATTTCATGTGCTCATATGCCTGTCTTGAACTATAGACTTTTTTTTTTTTTTTTTTTTTTGAGACAGGGTTTCAACTTGTGTCACCCAGGCTGGAGTGCAGTGGTGCAATCTCGGCTCACCGCAACCTTAGCCCCCTGGGCTCAAGTGATTCTCCAAGCCTCAGCCTCCCAACTAGCTGGGACTATAGGCACACACCACCGTGCCCAGCTGATTTTTGTATTTTTTGTAGAAATGGGGTTTCACCATGTTGCCCAGCCTGGTCTTGAACTCCTGAGCTCAAGTGATCCATTTATGGCCTCCCAGAATGCTGGGATTACAGGTGTGAGCCACTGCACCCATTCTTGAAATGTAGACTTTTTATTCATATGTATTTTGTTGTTGTTGTTGTTAATATTGTTGTTTTTGGGACATAGTCTTGCTCTGCTGCCCAGGCTGGAGTGCAGTGGTACAATAATAACTCACTGTAGCTTTGACCTCTCAGGCTCTGGTGAGCCTTTCACCTCAACCACCCAAGCACAGACATGTGCCACCATGCCCAGCTAACTTTTTTTGTGTATTTTTTCGAAGAGCGGGTGTTTCACCATGTTGCCTAGGCTTGTCTCGAACTCCTGGGCTCAAGCCATTTGCCCACCTTAGCCTCCCAAAATGCTAGGAGTATAGGCAGTGAGCTACTGCATTCAGCCAAGCTTCATATTTTGATATTTTGTGTTATCTTCCCATTAAGATTATAAACTTTTTTAGGGCAAGAACAATCTAATTGTTTTGGATTTAAAAAATGTTTTTAAATTCTGGATTCTAAGGATTAAATGATTGTTTTATTCTCTCTTTTGGTGAGATGTCTTTTTTTTTTTTTTTTGAAATGAGGGTCTCACTCTGTGACCCAGACTGGAATGTAGTGACATAATCTCAGCTCACTAGAGGTATCTTTTATGACATTGAACAGTGACAGTGAGCTCACAAATGTTTAGGCGTTTTCTGTTTTGTGTTCTATTTATGACCCATAGGTGGCACCTATTGAGTGTTAGATAGCAAACAACAGCATGTGGGCAACTGGCTGGCTCAGGCTACAGGTCCTTTTCTTCCACTGATGACTCAAGATTAAAGTATCAATTAACACTTAATTAACACAGTAACTTACATATTCCTCTAATATTTGCTTTGGCCAGTTTATTAAACCATAGATGTTCCTGTATATAGGCATTTATTAGAATTTTCATATTCTTTCTTGTAGGACCGGGTGACTTTTAGAAGAATCATAGTGAAAAATAATGCAAAAAAGAGGAAGATGTTTGAATCATTTATTGAGTCTGTGCCCCTCCTTAAATCGCTAGAGGTAAAGTGGCTTGAATGAGAATCTGTTCATGGGGATCAGGAAAAGCTTTTAAAACTATTCTGTTGTTAGGTGTTCAAATCATACTATTCTAATCCCATTTCTGTGTTGCATAGCTATTGTGACTTTCAGTTAAGGTCTTTTCCTTTTATTTCTGAATTTGTCTGTTGTTTCAGGTGTCAGAACGAATGAAGATAGTGGATGTAATAGGAGAGAAGATCTATAAGGATGGAGAACGCATAATCACTCAGGTGAGTGAGGGCTTTACACAGCTCCTTTCCTGGAAGTCACCCCTGAATAACTAGTACATCATTTATCTCAAAAATCTTGCCAGACATAGTGGCTCACGCCTGTAATCCCAACACTTCGGGAGGCTGAGGGAGGTGGATCGCTTGAGACCAGGAGTTCGAGACCAGCCTGGCCAACATGGTGAAACTCCGTCTCTACTAAAAATACTAAAATTAGCTGGGTGTGGTGGCCCACGCCTGTAATCCCAGCCACTCGGGAGGCAGAGGCAGGAGAATTGCTTGAACCCAGGAGGCGGAGGTTGCAGTGAGTCGAGATTGCGCCACTGCCTCCAGCCTGGGCAACAGAGTGAGACTCCATTTCAAATTTAAAAAAAAAAAAAAAACTTCTATGTTCTCCCATTGTTGGGAGCTCTTATTACCAGGTAATAGATCACACTTCAGAGGACAATTATATAGTCCCCTGAAGCTTATTGATGTCCGTCTTACTGACACATGCAGATCACTTGCTTCCGCTCACCTTTCCTTGGCTTCTAGTGTTTGTTCTTTGGATGTCATTTTCTTTTGACCTTGAGTAAGTTTCATCTATTGCTATTAGAACCTGGGGAAGGTTAAAGAGTTCTGCCCTCTAACTTTCTATATTTGACACAAAGGCATCCTTTTGGCTAATCTAACACAAATCAGAGTCCACAGTCTTCAGTGATTAACCAAATTTGTAAGATGTCTGGTATTTCCTTTGTGCATTTTTCTCATGTTATTTTGGGATACAGTAAGGATTACTAAACAGTGGGCTAGATCATTGTAATGAGTACTGTCTAATAATTTTCTTTATCCACTGTGTTTGTATTTTTAATAAAACATAAATAGTATTGGACTTTTCCAGGTATCAGCTTCTCTGCCTATGGTTCTGGCTCAAGAGCACTGAGAAGATACATGGGTGGCCTAGGTTGGGTGATATGCTTATCCTTGAACCCAGTACTGAGACCACGAGGAGGAAAGGCTCAGATTGGTCAGGCGTGGGTCCTGTGGGTGGAGTTGGCCCCACTAGAACCACAAGGACTAATCAGACTTACCGTAAAAGGGGAAAAGAAAGCTCCCCTGGAAGAGATAAAGGACTAACAAAAATATGATGTCTACTCTGAGTCACATCTCTGAATGTATTTGTTTTCTAGGAGCCCTTACTATTAATAATTCTTTTAATTAGAAATTGATATATTCTATAAACATTTATTAAGATAGGTAGGACCAGATATGATAAGCACTATAATGAAGGAGTGTATGAACGACAGTGAGAACATAGAAATGGAAGTAATACATACGGTTTCATCAAGGAAATGCCATTTGAGATGGGCTTAAAAAACAAGTGCAATTACAATGTTTGAAATCAGGGAAAGGTCCTTCAGAGCAAAAAAACAATATTAGCAAAGGCCAGTGGTGTGAGCTGTGTTTCAGAGCAGGTATCCTGGTATGGTAAGAATGTAGGACTGAGTTTCAGAAATGGGAGATGTTAACTGGCCACATTTGCTTCTGAATTTAAGGTGCTTTAAGTAACATTCAAAGGACCTCCAATTCATCCTGAAGGTTCTAGGCCTGTCTCATACTGGGTTTTCACAAAGTATGTCAGGAGATGTGAAAAGTCATAGTGTTTTCTTGATTGTCTGTGCTCTTGAAGATAGAGTACTATCTATCTTCAAGGTAGACAGGTAGTGGTACAGAATGGACATTAATTAAGATGATATTAAAAGGGGCTTATTATAGGCCCCTTTTGTCAGTGTCTCTCACTGGACCAAGGCTTCTCAAAGTGAGATCCCAGGACCAGCAGCAATCAGCATCATCTGAGAATGATAGAATTGTTAGGAATGCAAGTTCTTGGGCCCCCCACTAGACCTGCTGAATCAGAAACTACATTTTATGTTGTTTCATTTTTTTTGGTCAGCTTTGTTACAGTGTGTTTTACATACAATAAAATTACTAAGTTTAAGTGTACAAATTGGAAGAGTTTTGTAACCATCCCCAGTGTGGTATTTCCATCACCCATACAGTTCCTTGTTTTGTATTTGCATTTGCAGTCACTACCCTCCCCCACACTCACATTCCTGGAAACCATTGATGTTTTCTATCACTGTAGAAATTCCGTTCTACAATTTAATATAAATGAAATCATGCAATGTATAGTTTTTGTATCTGGTTTCTTTCTCTTAGCATAATATTTTTGAGATTTGTCCATGTTGTATGTATCAGTAGATCATTCCTTTTGCTGAATAATATTTCATTGTACAAATGTAATTTTTTTTTTCATTTTTCTGTTTTCTTTTTGAAACGGAGTTTTGCTCTTGTTGCCCGGGCTGGAGTGCAATGGTGCGATCTCAGCTCACCATAACCTCCACCTCCCACGTTCAAGCAATTCTCCTGCCTCAGCCTCCCATTATTTTTCTTTTTAATGAGACACAGTCTTGCTCTGTCACCCAGGCTGGAGTACAGTGACATAATCTCAGCTCACTGCAACCTCTGCCTCCCGGGTTCAAGCGATTCTCGTGCCTCAGCCTGCTGAATAGTTGGGACTAAAGGCTCACGCCACCATGCCTGGCTAATTTTTTTTTTTTTTTTTGAGACGGAGTCTCGCTCCGTCGCCCAGGCTGGAGTGCAGTGGCTGGATCTCAGCTCACTGCAAGCTCCGCCTCCCAGGTTCACGCCATTCTCCTGCCTCAGCCTCCCGAGTAGCTGGGACTACAGGCGTCCGCCATATCGCCCGGCTAGTTTTTTTTTGTATTTTTTAGTAGAGACGGGGTTTCACCGTGTTAGCCAGGATGGTCTCGATCTCCTGACCTCGTGATCCACCCTTCTCGGCCTCCCAAAGTGCTGGGATTACAGGCTTGAGCCACCGCGCCCGGCCTGCCTGGCTAATTTTTGTATTTTTAGTAGAGACAGGGTTTCACCGTGTTTGCCAGGCTGGTTTTGAATATCTGACCTCAAATGATCCGCCCAGCTCAGCCTCCCAAAGTGCTAGGATTACAGGCGTGAGCCACCATGCCCATCCTTTGTGTAGACATATGTTTTTACTACTCTTCAGTAAATACTGTTTTTTTTTTTTTTTGAGACAGAGTCTCGCTCTGTCACCCAGGATGGAGTGCAGTGGCATGATCTCAGCTCACTGTAACCTCTGTCTCCCGAGTTCAAGCAAGTCTTGTGCCTCAGCCTCCTGAGTAGCTGGAACCAAAGGCATGTGCAACTGTGCCTGGCTAATTTTGTTTGTTTGTTTTTGTTTTTAGTAGAAATGGGATTTCACCATGTTGGCCAGGCTGGCCTTTTTTAGTAAATACTTAAGAGTGCAATTGCTAAATTATATGTTAACTTCATAACAAACAGCCAAACTGTCTTAAAATGGCTATACTGTTTTGTATTCCTACCAGCCATGCATGAAAATTCAGTTGCTCTGCATTCTCAACAGTAAATAGTATTTACAGCCTTAAAAAAAAAATACAGTCAGGGTCTTGCTATATTGCCCAGCCTGGTCTTGAACTTCTGAGCTCAAGCCATCTGCCCGCCTTGGCCTCCCAAGTGCTGGGATTATAGGTATGCCCCTCCATGCCTAGCCTTCATTTTCTTAATGGTATCTTTTGAAGAGAAAACAGTTTTAATTTTGATAAGTCTAGTTTATCATCTTTTCTTCTTTGTAGTTTGTACTTTTGCTGCTGTATTTTAGGAAATCTTTGCAAAATCAGTAATACTTTCTCCCAAGTTTACTTCCAAGACCAGCACTGTTCAATAGAAATAACATGTGAGCCACATATGTAATTTTAAAAATCTTTGGTCAGGTAGGGTGGCTCATGCCTGTAATCCCAGCACTTGGGGAGGCTGAATAGCTTGAGGCAGATAACTTGAGGCCAGGAGTTCGAGACCAGCCTGGCCAACATGACGAAACTTCATCTCTACTAAAAAGTAATACAAAAATTAGCTAGGTTTGCTGGTGCACAACTGTAATTCCAGCTACTTGGGAGGTCTAAGAACGAGAATCGTTTGAACTTGGGAGGCAGAGGTTGCAGTGAGCCAAGGTCATGCCACTGCATTCTAGCCTGGAGGACAGAGCAAGACTTGGTCTCAAAAAATTGAAGAAATAAAAACTTTCAGTAGATACTTGAAATAGTCAACTTAACTTTAATATATTTCATTTAACCAGTATATCTAAAATATTGTTACATCTAAGTGATATAAAACTTTATTAATGAGATATTTTACATTTTTAATACTAAGTCTTCAAAATCTAATGTATGTTTTACATCTTTAGTACATCTAAGTTTATACTAGCAACATTTCAAGTGCTGAGTCACATTTGACTAGTGGCTAATGTATTAAGCAGTACAGCTGTAGACATTCACAATTTTAGCTCTTACCTTAGGTCTGTGATCCATTTTGAATTATTTTTATTGTTTTTGTTTTGTTTTTTTGAGATGGAGTCTCGCTCTGTCGCCTAGGCTGGAGTGCAGTGGCGCGATTTCGGCTCACTGCAAGCTCTGCCTCCTAGGTTCACACCATTCTCCTACCTCAGCCTCCCAAGTATCTGGGACTACAGGCGCCTGCCACCATGCCCGGCTAATTTTTTGTATTTTTAGTAGAGATGGGGTTTCACAGTGTTAGCCAGCATGGTCTTGATCTCCTGACCTCGTGATCCTCCTACCTTTGCCTCCCAAAGTGCTGGGATTACAGGCGTGAGCCACTGCGCCTGGCCTTGTTTTTGTCTCGCTCTGTCTTTCAGGCTTCAGTACAGTGTGCGGTCGTAGCTCACTGCAGCCTTGAGCTTCTGGGCTCAAGCAATACTCTTCCCTTAGCCTTCCAAGCAGTGCCACCACACCCAGCTAATTCTTTTTTTTTTTTTTTTTGGAGAGGGAGTTTTGCTCTTGTTGCCCAGGCCAGAGTGCAATGCCACTATCTCAGCTCACCACAACCTCCGCCTGCTGGCAGAGGATCAAGAGATTCTCCTGCCTCAGCCTCCCAAGTAGCTGGGATTACAGGCATGCACCACCACGCCCAACTACTTTATTTTATTTTATTTTATTTTTTTTTTAGTAGAGACAGGGTTTCTCCATGTTGGTCAGGCTGGTCTGTGAACTCCCGACCTCAGGTGATCCACCCACCTCAGCCTCCCAAAGTGCTGGGATTACAGGTGTGAGCCACCGTGCCCAGGCTACACCCAGCTAATTTTTAAATTTTTTGTAGACAGGGTCTCTTTATGTTGCCCATGCTAGTCTTGAACTCCTGGCCTCAAGTGATCCTCCCACCTCACCTCCCAAGTAGCTGAGATTACAGGCTTGTGCCACCACACCTGACTACATTTTTGTGTTTTGTTTTGTTTTATTTTGTTTGTTTTTTGTTTTTTGAGATGGAGTTTCGCTCTTGTTGTCCAGGCTGGAGTGCAATGGCACAATCTCGGCTGACTGCAACCTTCACCTCCCCAGTTCAGGTGATTCTTCTGCCTCAGACTCCTGAGTAGCTGGAACTACAGGCATGCATCACCATGCCCGGCTAATTTTTTTATTTTTAGTAGAGAACAGGGTTTCGCCCTGTTGGCCAGGCTGGTCTCAAACTTCTGACCTCAGGTGATCCGCCCACCTTGGCCTCCCAAAGTGCTGGGATGTTGTGAGCCACAGCGCCTGGCCTACATTTTTGTTTTTTAATGACTTGCATAATTTTCACAAGTAATTTTCATAATCGATAGAATATTTAGCTTATTCTCAGAATAATGTAGACAGAAGGTAGCTTTAATTTTACAAAATCATGTTTTATGTTTTCACTATTAAAGTACCATTGCATTAAACCCAAAAGATTCCCATATCCTGAAAATTAGGGCTTCAGTCATTCTTATAGTGGAATGTGGATCTTATATTATCTATTGTGAAAAAGAGACATATAAAAACCTGATGACATGTTCACAAAGACCTAAAATGCAGTACAGTCTGGCTTCTTTACTCTTGAATGTAGAATGGAATGTTCCTTCTGTGAGATGGGTACACAGAGCCTAGTAGTGAACTTGAAAAGCAGGATACTTGGCGGGGCATGGTGACTCACGCCTGTAATCCCAGCACTTTGGGAGGCCGGGGCAGGTGTATCACCTGAGGTTGGGAGTTCGAGACCAGCTAATCCCAGCTACTCAGGAGGCTGAGGCAAGAGAATCACTTGAACCCCGGGAGGCCGAGGTTATGGTGAGCCGAGATCACACCATTGAACTCCAGCCTGGGCAACAAGAACGAAACTCTGTCTCAAAAATAAATAAAATACATACATACATACATACACAAAAATTAGCCAGGAGTGCTGGTGCACACCTATAATCCCAGCTACTTGGGAGGCTGAGGCACAAGAATCACTTGAACCTGGGAAGTGGAGGTTGCACCACTGTACTCCAGCCTGGGCAAAAGAGACTCCGTCTAAAAAAAAAAAAGGCCTGGTGCGGTGGCTTATGCCTGTAATCCTAGCACTTTGGGAGGCCGAGGCGGGTGGACTGCCTAAGCTCAGGAGTTCAAGACCAGCTTGGGCAACATGGAGGTGAAACCCCATCTCTACCTAAAATACAAAAAATTAGCCAGGCATGGTGGTGTGCGCCTGTAATCCCAGCTACTCAGGAGGCTAAGGCAACAGAATTGCTTGAACCCAGGAGGTGGAGGTTGCACTAAGCCGAGATCGTGCCCCTGTGCTCCAGCCTGGGTGACACAGTGAGACTGTCTCAAGAAAAAAAAAAAGAAAAGGAAAAAAAAATGAAGACAGCAGAGACTAGGGTATGTGTACAGGATAACAATGACGCCATCACGCCTGGCTAATTTTTGTACTTTTAGTAGAGATGAGGTTTCACCATCTTGGTCAGGCTGGTCCCAAACTCCTGACCTCAGGTGATCTGCCCACCTCAGCCTCCCAAAGTGCTGGGATTACAGGCGTGAGCCACCACACGTGACCTTTTTTGTATTTAGTAGAGACGGGGTTTCACCATGTTGCCCAGGCTGGTGTCGAACTCCTGGCCTGAAGCAGTCCGCCCCCCTCAGCCTCCCAAGGTGCTGGGATTACAGGTGTGAGCCACCGTGCCTGGCCTTTGCTGTCTTCAAAACACTCTTACACTCCTTCCCTCACTTTGTTTCTATTCTGGCTACCAGCCTAATTTCTTGCATAGCCAGAGACTTTCAAAGTATGATCTGACAATATGGACTAAAAGAAGCCAGATACAAAAAATGTATGACTCCATTTATATTAAGGAATGGCCAAAACCTACAAGGACAGAAATTAGATATGGTTACTTCATGGGTGGGAATGTGGTATTTTTGACTGAACTCCAGAGGGAGCCTTTTGGAGTATGGATATATTTTCTATTTTGATCTAGGAGGTGGTTATACAGGTTTATACATTTGCAAATAGTCATCAATCTATATAGCCTTGAAATGTGAGCACTTTAAATGGTGGATGTTATACACCTATCTAAACAAAAAGGACTCAAGCACTATCCTTCACCACCTATCACTTGCAGATCTTTCCTACCACACAGATCTTTCCTTTTCATCACCCTCTTCTTGGTGAAATAACCTCTCCCTCTTTGTGACTCTGCTTCTGGCTCCTACTAAGTTTCTTTCATGGCTCTTCATCCTTTGTCAGCTCCTATCATACAGCTGTTTGTGTAATGCTAGAACTTCATGGTTATTTGGCTCTGCTGGTTGTAGGATACCTACCCAACATAGCAGGGCAGAAACCACAGGCACCCCTTTGTAAAGCTGTGGCATTTACTTATATGGGGCAGTGATATGTCCTGGGATTAGATTGACTCAGAAACGTCATCCTAGCTGTGTATGGTGCCCACGTGGGGCTCTATGTGATGGTCAAAGGACATGAAGTTTGTGAAAGCCTAAGAAGTAGATTCTCACTGAAGACCTAAGACCCACACAGAGTGAGAGTGCATGAGTAATATTGCATTATCTGATGTAGATGGTATTTGTTCCAGAAGTTAATAGTGAGGGGTCAGAAACTGAATGAAGTGTGCCTGAAAGCTGCTTCACGTATATCTGCATGCCTAACTCAGACGTCCTCCCGGTCTTTGCTCAAATCTCACCTTCTCAAGCTCTTTTTTTTTTTTTTTTCCTTTTCCTAAGAGGCAGGATCTCATTGTTGCTCAGGCTGGAGTCCAGTGGCAGGATCATGGCTCACTGCAGTTTTCACCTCCTGGGCTCACATGATCCTCCCGCCTTAGCCTCTCTGGTAGCTGGGGCTGCAGGCATATGTCACTGTGCCCAGCTAATTTTCTAAATTTTTTATTTGTTGAGACAGAGTCTCACTGTATTGTCCAGGTTAGTATTGAACTCCCGGCCTCAAGCAATCCTCCAGCCTTGGTCTCCCTAAGTGCTGGGATTACAGGAATGACACCCAGCCTCAGTAAAGCTCTCATATATAGGATACCCACTCCTTCCCCAGCACTCCAGATCTCACATTCCCTGTTTTACTCTTTTTGTGTAGCACTTATCACCTTGCAACAGAACAATATAATTTACTGATTTATTATGTTGACTGTTTAAAGTTTGTTTACCCTGTCAGACTGTAAGTTCTACAAGGCCAAGGGGTATTCGTTTTGTCCACTGGGTATATTTCACATGCCTAAAACAGTGCCTTGCACATAGTAAATAACTTGGTAAATAAATTACTTGTTGAATTAAGTAAATGACTGGTTCAACCATGTGGTTTAAAATCAAAACAAGTAGGCTTATGCCTGTAATCCCAGCACTTTGGGAGGCAGAGGTGGGTGGATCAGTTGAGCCCAGGAGTTTGAGATCAGCCTGGGCAATATGGCAAAACTCTGTCTCTGCAAAATATACAAAAATTAGCTGACCATGGTGATGTGCACATGTAGTCTCAGCTACTTGGGAGGCTGAGGCAGGCGTATCACTTGAGCCTGGGAGGTTGAGGCTGCAGTGAGCCATGATCACACTACTGCACTCCAACGTGGGCAACAGAGCAAGACCCTGTTTCCAGAAAAATAAATAATTAAAAATACAAATAAAACAAGCAAAAGAAAAGCCTAAGGTTCATAAGGGTAACATCAAAGTACCTCTCTCACCAAGACAGAACCTTCCAGATCCATGCTGTCCTGTTGAGAGTTATATTTAATGGTTCAAGATTATCCCTGGACCCCATACTTCAGGTGTAGCCAGGAATCACCTTAAAATTGTCTGCAGCAGCCTTGACTACTGATCCCTGTCATAGATTTCAATAGCAGACCAACATGAGCAATGAGAACAGTGATGCTTTATGCACTTGGCAACCTGGGCACATTCATTGAGATCAATGTGAGTGGTTCATGCTAAGAAGTGGGAGATGTGTCAGTTGTAGTTAGGTTGATATCCCAGTGATCAGAATCCTCTTCATTTTGTTCTGAATTTGTTTTTTGTTTTGTTTTGTTTTTTGTTTTTTTGAGGTGGAGTCTCACTGTGTCGCCAGGCTGGAGTACAGTGGCGCGACCTCAGCTCACTGCAACCTCCGACTCTCTGGTTCAAGCGATTCTCCTGCCTCAGCCTCCCCAGTAGCTGGGATTATAGGCACGCGCCACCACGTCTGGCTAATTTTTGTATTTTTAGTAGAGACGGGTTTCACCATGTTGGCCAGGATGGCCTCGATCTCCTGACCTTGTGATCTGCCTGCCTCAGCCTCCCAAAGTGCTGGGATTACAGGTGTGAGCCACCGTGCCCGGCCTACTCTGAATTTGTTTACTGTTGATTCATTTGTAGAGTTAAAAAAATAAATACAAATCAGAGCTTAAGCAGTGAAAAAGCAAACTATTTCTTTATTCCCCTTCAATACTAGGTATGGCTCTGACCTGACCTCCTTTTTCTTTCAGGGTGAAAAGGCTGATAGCTTTTACATCATAGAGTCTGGTGAAGTGAGCATCTTGATTAGAAGCAAGGTGAGTTTATCAGTTTATAGGTGATGGTGTACACACAAAAAGTAACGGTTTGCTTTAAATAATGTGAAGTGTGTTGAATGCAGCAAACCGTCATTGTTATGTGAGATGTATGACTGGCAGAGACCCATGCTTAAGCCCATTTAGTATAGATTTAGTATATTTAGATTAGATTAAATATAGATTTAGTATATTCTTATTTTTACTGCCTTTGCATCTGCCATGTAATTAATGATTTAGGGAATATCGGCCTACAAATCAAGAAAAAGATAAAAACCCTAATAGAAAATGGGGGCTGGGGCCGGGCACGGTGGCTCACGCCTGTATCCCAGCACTTTGGGAGGCTGAGGCGGCGGATCATGAGGTCAGGAGATTGACACCATCCTGGCTAACACAGTGAAACCCCATCTCTACTAAAAATACAAAAAAAATTAGCCAGCATAGTGGCAGGCGTCTGTAGTCCCAGCTACTCAGGAGGCTGAGGCAGGAGAATGGCATGAATCCGGGAGGCAGAGCTTGCAGTGAGCCAAGATTGCACCACTGCACTGCAGCCTGGGTGACAAAGCAAGACTCCGTCAAAAAAAAAAAAAAAGAAAATGGGGCTGGGCGCAGTGTCTCACACCTGTAATCCTAGCACTTTTGAGGCCTAGGCAACAGGATCTCTTGAGCCAAGAGATTGAGGCTGCCGTGAACCGTGATTGTGCCACTGCACTCCAGCCTGGGTGACAGCAAAACCATGTCTTTGAAAAAAAAGAAAAAGAAAAAGGAAAGAAAATAGGGAAATTATATAATAAAAAGAGATTGGAAGGGATGAATATGAAGAAAGTTTCCTTTTTAGAGCACTACTAGAAGAGGTCTCTAGGATAACTGTGGTCATTTAATGGATGATGTGACCTAGAAAAGTGAGGAGCTATGAGTAGAAGGAATGACTGTTACCGGTAAATCTATCATCACCAGATTTTTCAGTTTTTTTTTTTTTTTTTGAGAATATAGAGTTTGTTAAAACAGTTATATATAACACTAAGTCGAACTAATATGAAAACTTTTGCAAAATATATTGAGTAACAGTTAATAAGTAGCTGGGCACAGTCGCACACGCCTGTAATCCCAGCACTTTGGGAGGCTGAGGGAGGTGGATCACGAGGTCAGGAGATCAAGACCATCCTATCTAACACAGTGAAACCCCGTCTCTACTAAAAATACAAAAAATTAGCCAGGCGTGGTGGCGAGCACCTGTAGTCCCAGCTACTTGGGGAGCTGAGGCAGGAGAATGGCGCGAACCCGGGAGGCGGAGCTTGCAGTGAGCCGAGATCGCGCCACTGCACTCCAGCCTGGGCGACAGAGTGAGACTCCCTCTCAAAAAGAAAAAAAAAAAGAAAACAATAGTTTGAAATGTCTGTGTCATTTTATTTACAGTTTTTGGATTAGTGATGTTTGTAGATTTCTCAGATATTCATTGACACCTGCTATGATCACAGCATAGTGTTAGGTGCATAAGATCAGCAGCAGCATGGCACTGGGATATTGCAGGGTGGGAGGTTTGTCAGAAGTGTAGAGTCCTGGGCTTTTCCCCAGATCTACTGATTCAGAATGTGCATTGCGAGAAAACCTGCATAATACTGGAGGTGGTGCGTATGTGATGGTGTGATAAGTCCCTCCTGTTCTAGAGAAGGGACTAAGTGAGCACAAATATGGCTGCAACTCCAGAGAATGCTACTGAAATTGGAAAGAGAAAGTTGGCCCAAATGGAACAGACCAACTTCAGAGCAACAGGGCGGAAGTGTAGAAGGAAGAAGGGTCAAACCGTGTAAGCCAGTGTAGCAGTTTTGTTTGCTTTAAAAATTAACCAAAAAGGAAATTATCTTTCTGCCTACAACATAAAGTTGTTCTTAGAGATTGAGACTAATTCTTACTAAAAAATTCTAAACAATTTTTTACTTAAATTATCACTTTGGTTAGCAGTTGGATTTGTTAAAAAAAAAACTCTAGATATTAATACACTGTAGTGTATTATCTTAAATTTAGTTACTTAACTCTTACTTTAAAAAATGGGAGGAGGGAGGCCAGGTGCAGTGGCTCATGCCTGTAATCCCAGCACTTTGGGAGGCCGAGGTGGGTGGATCACGAGGTCAGGAGCTCAAGACCATCCTGGCGAACATGGTGAAACCCTGTCTCTATTAAAAATACAAAAAAAATTAGCCGGGCGTGGTAGCGGGCGCCTGTAGTCTCAGCTACTCGGGAGGCTGAGGCAGGAGAATGGCATGAACCCGGGAGGCGGAGCTTGCAGCGAGCAGAGATCATGCCACTGCACTCTAGCCTGGGCAACAGAGTAAGACTCCGTCTCAAAAAAAAAAGGGAGGAGGGACCACTAACTTAAGATACAGATAGTACTTAAAAAGAAATTTGTTGGCCAGAAGCAGTGAATCACTCCTATAATCCGAGCACTTTGGGAGGCCAAGACAGGAGGATTGCTTGAGGCCAGCATTTCAAGGCTGCATGAGCTGTGATCATTCCTCTGAACTCCAGCCTTGGTGACAGAGTGAGACCCTGTCTCTTAAAAAAAAAAAAAAAAAAAAAAAAAAGAAGGTGGAGAGCTTGGGGAATTTTGTCACTATAAAATGTTGTTCAAGGCATAGTCTCAACTCAGAGAAATAGCCCAAGTTTGTGGCTCATTAAGAGAAGCATTGTCCTTATTTAGACAAGATTGGGCATGTTCAGAGTGGTATGGCTGTAGATTACCTTAAAAATGTTAGGACTCAGATGGAGCCCTAGGTGAAAAGCAAACTCCTCTGATCAAACCAGACCACTGAAATTAGTCTGTGGAGTTTACATGGTACAGTTAGTGAATTTTCTGCAAAGTGAGTGCCTCAATAACTGTGTGAAGTGTGCTGAGAACAGTGCATGTGTGTGCAACTGGACATGCCCAGCTGTGATCCTGGAGTCAGCCTAGGTCATGTTCTTTGCCTGCTGTAGACTAAATCAAACAAGGATGGTGGGAACCAGGAGGTCGAGATTGCCCGCTGCCATAAGGGGCAGTACTTTGGAGAGCTTGCCCTGGTCACCAACAAACCCAGAGCTGCCTCAGCTTATGCAGTTGGAGATGTCAAATGCTTAGGTAAGAAAAGTTCTTTATGCATTAATACTCTTTTTCTAACGTGTAATATTTTTTTCCCATCAGCAAGCCTTGACATATTCTGCCATCTTTTACTACTGTCTAGGCCTAGGCAGTTTATATGACCACCAGGGATGGATGAATGGATACTTTCAGCAAACATTTCTGAGCGTTGATGACAGCCTGTGAGCAAGACAGGCATGCAGGCCCTTTAGCCATATGAAAAGAACTGATGTCCAGGGCTGTGGGAGAATGGGGAGAACAGGTGCTGCTGGACTCTGTAAAGTCTCTAACTTGGATGACACAGTCTTTCTGAATTCATGTAGAAACATCCCTTTTTGCAAGTAGCCAGTGTCCCAAGGGGTAATCTCCTATAACATGAAAGGGTATGTTTAGGAAAAGGTTTGCATGAGGGAAATGGCTTGAATTCATTCTCTCCCTCACCTCTTTTTAACAATGCAGTTATGGATGTACAAGCATTCGAGAGGCTTCTGGGGCCCTGCATGGACATCATGAAGAGGAACATCTCACACTATGAGGAACAGCTGGTGAAGATGTTTGGCTCCAGCATGGATCTGGGCAACCTCGGGCAGTAGGTGTGCCATACCCCAGAGCCTTCTTAGTGTGACACCAAAACCTTCTGGTCAGCCACAGAACACATACAGAAAACAAACATGACAGAACTGTTCCTGCTGTTGCCACCACTGCTGCCATTGCTGTGGTTATGGGCATTTAGAAAACTTGAAAGTCAGCACTAAAGGATGAGCAGAGGTTCAACCCACACCTCCACTTTGCTTCTGAAAGCCCATTATTAGACCACTTGTAAAGATTACTCCAACCCAGTTTTTACATCTTTGGTTCAAAACAGCATGTCTCTCCAACAATTTAAGTGCCTGATACAAAGTCCAAAGTATAAACATGCTCCTTTCCTCTCTTGCTGCTACTCTTACTTATGGAAGTTACCACAGGGTCTGCAAAAACCTGTTGTGTAACTGTAGACACTCTCTAATCGTTCTCAAAGGAGGAATTGTAGCCTTCAGTCTCCTCATTTGTCCCTTGAGAAAGTCCACATTTGTTCACAGTCACAGCCTGCGGTTTTACAGTGGGAAATGGTGGTGGATGGTGTGGACATATGTAGCCCAGTGGCATTGTACTTTCTGCTGACAGCTGCACACATTACAGCTGTCTCCAAACCCACAGTGATGCTTAGGGAAAGACCCTGCTCAGGACCCAACAGGTCAGCACCCCAGAGCAGACTGATAGGTCAGTGGGACCCATGTTAAAGCAGAAAATTTGGGCTTAGCACATTTTACTGTTAGTAGAGGGCCAGGAAAGGTTTTCTGGGTTGGGGATTTTGTGGGTTTTTTATATCTTTTTGTTTAACCTCTGTGCAGTCTGCATGAATGAATTGTTACCCATTTATAAGGAGTCAGGGTCTGGAGGGTTGCTATCACTTTGTCCAAGCCAAATACCTTCCTGGGCAACTCCTACCATTTGTTTGCAGTTGCCCCTACTGGCCAATGGCAGTATGCTGGAAAGAGGTTGTACTATAAAGAGAGCTCTTTCCTTCTACTCCAGAGTTGTTGTGTAGCTTTGCCATTGAACCCATCAATTTTTAAACTCTTTAAAGAAGCAGCAGCTATTTTTTTTGAAATTAAAGAAAATTCTCAGGCCAGGCTCAATGGCTCATGCCTATAATCATAGTGCTTTGGGAGGCTGAGCTGGGAGGATCACTCAAGACCAGCCTAGGCAACAAAGTGAGACCCTGTCTCTAGAAAAAAAAAAAATTTTTTTTTTTTTTTTTTTTTTTGGTTGAGATGGAGTTTAGCTCTTGTTGCCCGGGCCGGAGTGCAATGGCGCAGTCTTGGCTTATCGCAACCTCCACCTCCCAGGTTCAAGCAATTCTCCTGCCTCAGCCTCCTGAATAACTGGAATTACAGGCATGCGCCACTATGCTGGGCTAATTTT